TTAAGCTGTTCACCACTTTGGTCACAGAGCCTTCATCCAATATATTCAGAGCGACCAAGGTTCCCGGAGCTGTTGGTGATGGAACAGTTTTATGAGCCGCGACAGTACACGTGGCACCATTGTATATGGGTGTGGGGCTAGACGGTTTACGTTTAGGTGGTTTATCCAATCTTAATGGAAGCGTGATACCACTCTGGGGCATGCTGCGTGCCTCTGCGCATAGCGCCTCGGATATACTACCAGGTGGTATCAACATAGTAGGTCGCACAATGGCGCAGTGGTCTTCTTCACATCCGAATGTTTCTGCATGACATGTCTGGTCGGTGTCGGGTGCCAAAAGCTCGACAGTCGATGGCAAGTGTCGCGGAGCTCTGCAGCGGTGGTATCGTAGGCTAATGTGTCGGACATCAGCTGGTTTCTCTCAGTTACGTCGTGGTTGGCACTAATTTCCTCAGATGCGTCTACGCAGTGAGCAACGGCGTGAGCAACCGGGCTTGGGTTGCGATGGTCAGAGCCTAACTTTGGGGAGCGCTTGAATGAAACGGCACTAGTTTTCTGTTCTAGCATGGATAGGAGGCCAGTTTGTAGTGGCTTGCGATCGGGCTAGATCAAAATGGATTGGAACTCCGTGGATGAAGCGATGATTGGTCCACTTTTTATGAACCTGTTGGAGTCAGAAGCGTTATTGAAACTAAACATTACTGGGCAGCTATGCTTTAGAGACTTTCGAAGCCGCATCACGTTACAGTCGGACGCAGATCCTAGACTTGCTTTAAGCAGGGTACGCTTTAAGAAGTCGGTAGTGTATCTGTCTGATGTATTAAAGACAATTGCATTATTTGACCTGATAGTTCGCTGGTGTGTCTCGGCAGCTATGTTGCAAACAAGCTTACTAATATTCTGTAGATGCGGAGCGGAAGGGTTCAGGGGCATTCCCATCAGGTAAAATAGAGAAATAAAGTAATGGGACAGATTCAAACGCAGAAACTTTCTGCATAAGAATTTCCAATTCGGCTTCTACAACCGCAAGTTTTCTATGCCACTCCGAGTCAACATCGGTGGCGCCAACTATACATTGCTTCGTTTGACTAGGCGTCATTACACTCTTAGTAGCAGGCTGTTTACGAGCGCGTTGTTTAGTTGACGGTTTTCGTAACGTCCGGGAAGTGACAGGAGTCATAGTGCTATGGGAAGTTGGCCGAAAGCAGGACCCGAGGAGTCGGTATAAAGGTATGTCGTGCAGGAGCTAGGGAGGGAAGGAGCAAAGGGAGGTAGAACAAAGATACGGTATGGGTAAGAGAGTTATGGAGAATAGCGCAACAGAGACCTAATATTATTGATAGTATGAGCAAGCAACCACCCACCAGTTGATCAAAAAATGCTGAAAACAGCAGCAGAAATGCAGTCGAATTGGCAACTTTCCTCACCAGCAGAGGGTTCAAGTGCGTGTTAGGTGGTCATTCTCTAACCCGCTTGAGGTGGAAGGTGGTGTTCCATATGGCTCGGTGCCAAAACCGCGCTTATTCCTGGTGTATATCGACGACCTGGCAAGATTTATCGCCCCAAAGTTTTTTGTTTTTCGCCGATGATGTTAAGAGATGGCGGGCGATTAGTAACAATGAAGATCACGATCTACTCCAGCATGACCAACGTTGCATTTATGAATAATCAACGAAGAACCTGCTTCAGCTAAGTGCAAGGTGATCCATCTGCACCACCAGCTGATGAGCGTTTAAAAGCTTGAAGATCACACCTTGCAGAAGGCGTCACAGAAGCGTGACCTAGGTGTACTGGCACAGAAAGATCTCGGATGCTTAAAACAAACAAAAAGGCGTCGACAACTGGCAATCCATACTTTGGCCTTCTTCGCAGGGCGTTCGATCGGTTTGTACCCTCAATCTTCCCCCAAATACTTAACGCCTACATGCGACTGCATGTGGAATATGCTATCCAGGCGTCGCAGCTGTGGCAGAAACAGGATCTCAATGCTCTCGAGACTCCTCGACGAAAGGCAACCAAGAATGTCAGGTGCCTATTTCATCGGCCCCATAAGCTTAGACTGAAATCACGAAGAATATACAGCAAACGATATCGGCGTTTGCGGGGTTAAAATAATGGTTTACCAGATTCTGGCGAACCTAAGACACATTTGCCGTCCTCTGGCGGAACTGAACCACAACACTAACTTAAGAGGTCATCCTCTGCAACTGACAATACAGTGTAGCCGGCTTGAATGTCGCAGAAATTTCTTCCTCTTCCGCGTGTCCCAGCCTTGAAACGCTCACCCTACATATGTCATCTCTGCTCCCAAGGTAGCGATATTTAAAAAACGAGTTGACGGTACGTTGTCTCATTTGCATTTCATTTTATAACTTGTTAGCCATGGGGCTAGAAAACGAAATCAAATGGTGTCTTATCTAACTCCAAACCAGTGGATTTATACTTGAATACGCGAACAGCGCCGCTATTCTATATAGATCTATGGTGAGTGTACCAAAACGCTTTTCATTTTAGTATGCAAGTTTATCTTCGCAATAATTTCCATCCCACGGGACTTGTTAAGCATTGATGGTTAACTCGTAATACAGAATTGTTCCATTCAAAGCAACGCATAAAAAATAAACCTATCGAAGATCATTAGGGTACTGATGTATCAAGAAGCAATGCTTTGGCTAATTTGTAAGCGCAACACAACACGGAGGCAAGTTCGTGTTTCAGACACCATGTGGGAGGGCTATCGTTCCTATGACCGGAGGGAATATCAAAATTTAACTATTTTCAGCCAAGTAATAAGCGTACAAAAGCAGTAAGTACTGAGCCCAGGGGGTAAAGCAGAAACGCACTGAACATTTATCTACGCGCGTTGAATAGATGAAATGGGTTTCCAGTTCTGGTTATCATAATGACGAGAAAACTAACTGAAGCGTCGGATGCTTTTGAGTTGGTAACTGTTGATGTTTAGGTCGTCTTGCTGTAGGGGCAACAAAAATTAGATTTGCCTTTGAAACAAGTCAAGACTAGATAGCAAGGTTAAATTAAAAATGCCATCAACTCAAAGGCAATATCCCAAACGAACATGCATAGACCTACTTACGTCGACGTTAGAGTCGACGAATGTCCATAAAAGTGAACAGCAATGATGGGATGAACACAAGTAAACTTGCAGTTGAGCCACCAGTTCGAGGATAGGGCTAAAGTCACTTGAAACGGTGAGATTGAGTAATATATGGAGAATGGCTTCACAAACCCAGAGGATTGAGCTAAATATGTCGAAACCATGAAGTACGTCAGAAAAACAAAATTGGCAATTACAGAAATGGAGATGGAAAATCATGAACCTGGGACAGAACGGTAAAGAGAGAAGGCCCATCGTTAGATAAAAGGCTAAACATGCAGGAAAGCGACTGGCTCAGTGGTTGAACCATGTAAAAAGATTTCAAGTGACAAGCGATATTGCGCAGCTGATGGAAGAAATCTTTAAGACCCGTAAAAGGTGTGGTCATCTCGCAGCAATCCGCCAAGCCAGTAAGTTCAAATAAAGGATGTCACAGATAGAGCGTTGGCGACTGTAGTGTCCGAAAAAAAACTGGCAAAAATGGTCAACGTCTCGGTCATTCACTTACTAGCGAAGGACAACATATTGGCAGTGTAAATTAAGTGTTGTGGCGAGTGCCTGATACCATGGCGAAATCACATTTAAAGACAGAGAATCCTATGTTCGCTGATTTGACCCTATAACCAGCTGTAGTGCAAAAAGGATCGTGAAGAGAGTGGATGGGGCAGGGAGGTTAACTGCCAGTTTCCTCACAAATGGACAGAATACTGAGTGTCATCACAAATGGTGCGTTACATGGTGGTATAGACAGTTGTGAGAACGTCAGGCGCTTGATATAGAAGCAGAAGAAAAAGCCATTGATGCGCGAATCAATCTAGTGGAACGGGTTAATATGATTCGATTCACTCACCACAAACGAGTGAATAGTCGGATAGTAAAAAAGAAAGAATACAATTTATTTCAGAATAAAACTGACGGACTGCAGTGGATCTGGCTGATAGGAATCGAGCCATCAAGTTAGTAAAAGATATTAAGAGGCGGAGGGAAAACAGATACAAGCAGCAGATGAAGAAGTCAGGTAAAAAATGCATTACCGTTGGTTTCGTGACTGTGTCATGTCTGACAAGAAATGGAAACATGAACATGGTCGAATGCAAGGCCATCTGCGCTTGTCCGACCAATATTTTATGTGTTTCTTTGGGTGTTTCGGAGAAATTCAAAGGTTCACAACTTCGTTAAATTGCCAAACCCGGGTAACAATTAATGTCGAGTTGGCAATGAAGTGGACATAGTGAAAGCAATGACAATAAAAGCCAGGACGGTAACCATGGATTCGTTACAGAACACAAAATGTGAAAACTGATTCAGTGCTCGTACTATATAAGAGCAACGCACCGCCACCACCAGCAGACAGCGACGAGCATGATTTAGATCCACACAGGTAAATTGGTTGCCTGGCAGATTTGCACACGCTACCAACTGATTGAGGCTGAAAGGCTACATAACCACCGAACAGGAGGACCCTAAGATCCCCAATGACTGAAGCTTCAATACCGGAATAAACGAATAGAGTAAACTTCTCTAACCATCGTCCGATGACAATTTGTGCATTAACCTACTCAGTAGAGCTGGACAAGGCCCGGTGCTCAATATTAATCAGTCGCCTGACTACGGATAAGGTAGGTGGAATACAGTTAATTATGATCGTTTCGAACCAGACTGGACAAATATGAGCAAGCGTAGCACCGACATGATGCGCATTCCGTGGTAGACTCAGGGATCAGGTTCATGTGGTAGCATGTTTGGCCAGGTAGGCAGAGTAAAGACAAACAGAAGCAGCGCAGAGATTGAGTATTGCTAAAGACAACCGCATTCAATACTGCTCACAAGAACGAAAGCATAAGCAAAGTATGACAATAATTCATCATTCAGTATGGTCAATATGGGAAAACGACACAATAACGGTCCACTAGTCTTTCCTCGTAAACTCTTTCGAAGCTTCATGCCGAAAATGCTGTGCCTCCGGTGCAAGGTAGCGAAAAGACAGCGGAAGAAGTTGGTTGTGGATAGCAAAATACGGGTATGGCGCCAAAAAATACACGTAAGAGAGTAACGCTTTAAAAATGCAAGAGGTTGAGCGTTTATTTATCCCATAGCATAGCAAACGCGTTGAATGAATAAGAACGGGCGGCCCGAAGATCCCCGGAGGAGTGAGTCATGCAAATATTTCTAATCGGGACGAACGTATTTGTAGATTCGTTTCTTCTTTGCTAGTGGTAAACCGACGATATCTGAATCGTAGTATACATTAAACTGGTGCCTGCAGCGTTGTTCGTAGACGTGTTCCCCGTCAGCAGTGATTCGGACAGGAAGAAGACCTGAAACAGAAAGGGTAAATTAGTCTCGCTGAGATCGGGAAATTTACCAAAACTTATGAAGTGTGGGTGACAACCTAATCATAAAATGGCACATCACGGGTAAAATGTACATCGGTCCCACACAAACAAATACCACAATCTCTTGTGATCGATCAAAGTTGATGGGGCGAAGTTATGTATGCCGTCACTTGTTGTCATTGCGCGCCTAGCAGGTCAGTTGTTTTAAACCAGCTCATCTTTTAGCGATATATACAATGCTAGGGAGATCCGTCGAATAAACTGGGACCAAGCATATAAAAAGCGCGGGGCTGTAAACGGAGATAAATAAACTGAACTCAAGTGCACTAATGGGTAAAAACATCAAGACAAAGCCGACAGAACACCGGTTCAATAAAGGAAACACACTTGCCAAGGTGCCTTCAGAGTGATACTGCCCAATCACACGGAATGAGTGCAGAACATCATCGCAAAGAGTGTGGTATTGTGCTAATACTCGGCTATCTCGTTTTACGGATGGCGTCGTAAAAAAGATTAACCAAACCGGCCAGTAACAAAGTGGTCCACGCGTTAGACTCGTAATCCACGGGTATCCGGTTCGAAATTGCGTGGATATTGGTTGTGGAAGCACCCCAACTTGCACATAACCGCAAATAGTTGCGTAGCAGCTAAGCCTCGGTGCAACCGCGTTGCTGGCACATACAAGTGTAGTAGTCATGTCCTTCATCCCTTGTATGGAGACTAGCTGGCAACCCATGTTGTTGCACGCAATTACTTACCGGTTATTGTTTACGGCGCCAGAGAAAATATCAAATACATTTACTTTACCAACCTACGCCACCATCCCGTTGTTGCAATGGTCGTAGGGAAACAACTGCTTTGATGAGTATCAAGGATAGTCGCAAAAAGTGCTCAGGTACGAGAACGCCAATCTAACGGACGAAGACGATGCGATTTGTGTATTCAAGCAATGAATATGCGCGTGAAGTGGGCAACAGCGGATAGTGATATCAAGCACAGATGGCACCACTACCAAATAAACGAGCGTGCCGGCCTTGAAACATGGCAACATCAACAGGGCAGCAAGGTACTAAGGTAATCCACCTGCAAAACATGACCTAGTGCTGTTGTGGTACCAGCGCAGACGACGATCGCGTAACATATCCGCGAGTATGTATGTCTTTCAACGATATAAACTTAAATATTACGACAAGCTAAATTGTATTGCAGCAGAAATGAGGTTTATTGCGGGCGGTATCATTAAAGCGGCAGAGCAGTGAGATCCGCCACGGAAGATAACATGCCATAACGGTATAGCTTCGCAGTTGCCCCCAGAATAGGTAATGCAGTGATAGTCAGAATGAACATACGTGGATACAATCTAGGAATGCCGGTGGAGATAACCAGAAAAGCAAAAAAACTTATGTAACACATCTGTATGAAACAATATTTAGTTGCATTCTCCTGCAAATAAGCTAGTATTTTCTGCCGCTTCATGGAGCTCGATTATACCTACATATATCTTCGGAATAAATCTGTTAGGTGCAATCCCTTTTCCCACTTAGATTTCAGGGAAGCAGGAACGATTCCATAATGGATCCATAGGATAAAGAAGAATACCTACCCACATGGCCGCAAAAGCACATTCAAGACTTGACATCCTACTGGTGGAACGATTGCCTTCCTTTGGAACTACCAATGCACTTACTTTCAAATGTTGATTTCTGAACGAAAAAGCAGTGTGATAATTTACATCTCGCTTTTGGCAAATTCTCTTGGTCATTATTCGACACAATAGCTAGGAGCGGGAACTATTTCACCAAGTGTCCTGCAGTACATTTCAATAAAAGTACCTTTCAATAAAAGAAGAACAAGAAAATGACGAAAAACAAAAATATAACTATGCGACTGTTTCCATCTCCAACACACGATGAGACCACCAGTCCTCGCGACCTTTGCGAGTCCTATTGTGTCCTGATCCAGCCGGCGAACATCAATGTGCTCTAAAAACGTGTAGAAGCCCTAGATTGATCATTTGATTGGCCATCTGAAGACATACCTGCTAAGAATGTCCGGCGGATAAGCGTCCACTTAACTACAACTGTGTTCAGTTACAACCTATTTAACCCACATGCCATCGCAGTTTGGTATGTATTCCGAAAGCCTGGCTTTGCCAGTTGACTCATGTCTATGGGCCCACAGCGTCGTCTTGGACGTATACCGAAACGCACCTGAAGATCGGCACATACTAATGTATGCTGCAAGTTGAGTGAAAGTCTTGAACGTTACCGTTACAACAGTAACTGACCGCGATGTGATCGAATTGCGTTCATAAATAGTGGACACCATGTCACCCTTCTGCAGATACTATACATATATATATATATATAATTACCATCACATTAAATCTGACGTTTTGCAAACCACTTTGGACGTTTTGCAAAACAAAATGGACCTTTTGCAAACCACTTTGGACACATGAAATTTAAAGCAGAAAATCAACTCTTCGCTTGCAAGCAACGAGAATAAGACGACTAAGCGATGTTCAGACTACATAGCAGTCATGCTAATGCAACCGAATTTTGTAACCAGCGGGTGCCACTGCAAACTCTGCTTATGATCATGAAGCTAGATCAAAGGCGATGACAGACTAACCCGATATCTCCCCATCTGTCTCCTCGCAATTTATTTGCTTCTAAATCTACACATGGACTTGTGAAGCTATGTGAATAATAGAAAGTCAGAATCCACAGTTGCGTAGTCTACCATGACGTGAACAAATGATACTTAGCATAAGAGGGAAATTGTGAAACACTCGTTTTGAGAATAAATTACGATGCGCCATCTCAAGGTGCATCGTGATTCCCACTGAAGTAAACCTTGGCCAATTCGATCCCTTGGACCGTAACTGATGAAGTGGATAGGTGGCGATCCAGTTGTCCCTCGTCACTCTATGGGCCTCTGTGGATTTTGTTTGGGCCAACCTATAAAGCTTCTCGATTACTGGATCAGTGCAGGCTATCATGACTCCAACAAACGCAGCATAACTTTATTGGCTTCCTGCTGCAAGTCGTTATCAAAGAAAGAGGATTAAAATGACTGGATGATGTTCAGACCACATTGTGCTAGCGCGAATGCAACGGGACTGTGCAAGCAGTGGGCGATTGTGCAAGACCTCCTCTCGATCATTGGCGTTGTTCCCCTAGAGCAAATCCGGCGACCCAGTTGTCCCGTGTCGCTCTATGTGCTTTCACGTATTTCCTGTGTGTGTATGGACGAACCTATGTAGTGCAATCTCTGTAACACTGTTGACATACTAATCCACCTAAACCAGTCTGGCCTCATTGGTTTACAGCTGTAGCTTGTGATCGACTCAGGGGAGTAATGGGAGTTTACGATATTCCGGCCACATTGCGCATACGCGAATGCAACGTAACTGCATAAGCAAGGGGCGATTGAGCAATCCCTCCTACGGATCTTGGGTGTCAGCTGGCTCGATCAGAACCGGTGATCTAGTTGTCCCCTGTCGTTCTATAGGCCTTCGTGTGGGTGTGTGGGTAAATCTATTCAGCTGCTCGATTACTGGATGTGTGCAGGCTATGATGAGTCCAACAGAATTAGCCTAATTTCGCTGGCCTAAATTTGCAGGGTGGTGTCAAGTTAAGGGGTATGTTGACTAAAAGATGTTTCCGCCTCATGTTGGTCCTGTAAATGCGACGGGATTATGCAAGCAGTGGGCGACTGTGCAAGCCTTCCTCTCGGTTATTGGCGCCCTTCACCTCAATCAAAGTCGGTGAGCCGGATTCCCCTGTCCATCTATGGGGCTCCGCGTATCATGTGTAGTGCTATTGAATTTTACTACAACCGCACAAGCATCGAAGGCCGGGTACAGTGACATATTATGGGCGTTAACGTTCTATAACCACGGCCAATTTCACAACGCTAATAATATCTATACAGCGGGATAGATTCTTCCTCACATGCAACCCAGACAGTGTTGCTGACATCCTTTATCTTAATATCAGCCAATGTTTAGATGCTATCGCTCCAGTTTTGCTAAAGAAACATCCCAACATTACTGCGAAAGATCACGCTAAAATTCGAGTTAAATGAAAAATCAGCAAACTGGTCAGCTTCTATAAGAAATCCCATGACTTCACTATACTATATCAGGTCCCTAATCTAAGCTGCAATTTAGAATCTGGCCGAGCTGGAAGACTGTGTTATGAAGAACATCGCGCTCTCATACATTCAAATATGCTTATGAAGCTTCTCGGAAGAACATAAGGATACAGAAACGACTGTATCTCGTCCATTGCTATGTCTGACTACATCAACGGATAATCTCATTTTCATTAGTAATCTTTTCAACGAGCATTTTCGTTCGTCCATCAACTGCAATACAGATGACCAGCATACTGTACCGTCAAAACAGCTTACAGACGGCACATTGTGGAGAGTAGACTTTCCTATAGCAGAAATAAGGAAGCCGCTTGATGCAATGAAGCCGTCCATTAATGGTGAACCTGATGGTACTTCGTCCGCTTTAATGAAATAGGGTGATCCGGATATCCATCTTGCAAAACGTATTTATCTTGTCATTAAACGTCTCAATGGAAACACGCTGATGTCGTACCAAAAAAGTACAAAACTGGATGTTGCTAATTACCGTCCGGTTACGGTTTCCAATATCAAGGAATCTAATTAGGTAATCACAACATGGCTTTATTAAATAGCTTTCTAATCAGTCTTGCCAACTGGACTTCCAGTCGACGGTGATAAAGCTTATATTATCATATTCCTTGACATGCAAAAGGCTTTCGACAAAGTACCCCATGGGAGGCTTTAGACGACTGTAGCAGGGTGTGGCATTGCTGACCCACAACTTTCTTGGCTCTATTCATACCTTAGTGACAAAACACAAGCAGTCTACATAGGTAATCACACATTTTGTCGTACCCCAGTGAAAAGTGGCGTCATCAAAGGCAGCGTTCTGAGACCAC